GTACGGGCTACTTATGGTCGTTCGTAAAATAATGGGGCACATTGGTCAGGAAAGGCTCAGTAGCGTCTCAAGTTTTAAACATCGTTATATATTTACATTTATCGGGGGAAAGTTTATGTATAGGTTTGCAAGAAATGATTTATGCATTGTAATGTTTTGTGCATATGAAAACCCATGAACTCACCAACTCTTTGTAGTTGACCTTGTTTTATGTTTTCATGTTTTTCAGGATTTAAGTAAGAAATGAAGATTTGGAGCATTTATGTGACGACACCGATTAAGTTCATTTTGAAGTTTTAGTAAAGAATTATTCTATTCCAACTTGGTTATGGATGTTAAATTCGAATTTATGTAAAACTTGAATGGTGTTATGTAATATCTGATGTTGTGACTCGCTTACCTGTTACATCTCGTGTTTCCGTTTTAACGGGGTGTGACATGCTTCTAGGCACTCAACATGATACCCATGACCACGCCTTATGTAGTAAACCAGCTGATGAAACCATTATGCAGTAAACCACCTGATGAAACCATTATGCAGTAAACCACCTGATGTCTGTATAAATTTTGATCCTAATTTACATTTTTGACTGTTTTTTCATGTCATCTATAACCAAAAGTTGTCTAGTATGTATTTTCAAAAATCCCCATCACTCAATTGAGTTAATAATTGGCGTTTTGATTCCAAAACTTGTCTGGTTAGCATCAAGATTTTCAAAATTTCTTATTTACTAACCATCGAAATGTGTTGAGTCATCTGCTGGTGGAATGGAAGAACTGGTTCAGCAGGTTGAAATGTAGCTTGGTTCATCTCAAAATCGTCAAAATCATCTTCGTCTAAAACAACATGATTTGCAGCCGTGTTCTAGAACTTAGAGAAGGAAATCCTAATCATGATTCTCTCGCTCCTTTTCCTTACTGATTCATAGACATATCGCACAGTAAGATTGTATAAAATAAGTATACTAAATGGAATCAGCCATACAATTACCTCGATTTGCTACAATTGCAATCCCCGGTTGAACATTGTCTGCCATCTCTTGTTCTTCAGAATCGTATATCGTGAATCTTCAATGAATCTCGCTAATATAATATACTGCAGAGTGATTATCGCATTCCTAATCTCATAGCATCATTTCTTAGAATAGATGCAATTCACCATTCCAATTTTACCCTTATTTTCCCTCAATCTATCAGGCGCGTGCTTCCATTTTTCATGTTTATTACAATTTTGCCATGAAATGCATCTGGACCATTGATTAAAAATTGAATGGATGAGATGAGGATTGTATAAGGTATAGGGATGACAAAGGTTGTAGAATAACCTCCCTCTATATATATGTATGGTCACATAAAGTAATGGCGTCTATTGAAACCACTCAAAACTTAAAAAAAATGGATTTAACTTTAAAAGATATTTAGCCTCCACATATGATTTAGTTCTATACTTAAATAACCCATTCAATATCGTATCAGATCTTATACATTGAATTTTTCCTCAAAACCAAAAGAAATAAATTCATTTCATATCTTGTATATTGGTTGTTAAATCCATCTCATTGTTATCCATTCCAATATTTAATTTTTCTCTATCATTTTCTTAAATTCATTTCAATATCTTATATATTAATCTTAGTATAAACCACTTTATCGTATGTTAATTATTCTATATATTCAAAACCTCAAACCAATTATCTAAAAGTAAAATATATAAAATCATGGTATAATTTGCTACAATTACCAGAAATAGTAAAAAGAATAGTTTAAAGTGAATTGTTTAACATAAGAACCAAATAACCCGAAACTATTTTAGTTCTGAAAAAAAATTCAACACTTTAAAATACGATCCTAGTGACCTAAGCTCCTAGATCTACCATTAAATGTGAGAGGATGAAAACCTAGCAACATTTAAGCTTCTACTATGATTCGGCTTTTGGATATGGGTCTCTAGTAGGAAGGGAAGGAGGATTACATAAGTCGTAGCTGTAAGGATGAGCATAGAATGAAAGACATGTTAACACGGGAGGACGAAGACACCTGCAACTTGTATATTGGGTGTCGGAGTGATGGTTGTGGTCAAGGAGGCCGAGGTGATGACTAGAGATGGAGGTAGGTGGGATAGGGGATATGTTAACACGTGTTTTTGTGTGTGTACCTATTTTTTATATTTTAATGGAAAAAAACAAATAAAAAGATAAAAAGACCAACCTACCCCTTCAGTTTTAGTGTTAATAGATTATATTTAACAAAGTAAACTGTAGGAACTATAACCATAAGATCAGGGTGTAGCAGTAATTTTTAACGAAGCATAGGGACCAAAACTATAAGCTACTTAAAAAGGGTAAGAATTATCAAAACCAATCTTACCCCACCCAATATTTTTTGTAGTGGCAGAATAAAATAATATAAAAATAAAAAAAATAAAAAATATGTACCACGTATATTTCACTAAAGTTACATTTTTAACGTTACCTCTCAGTTTGATTTTGGAAATATATATATAGTTTAAAGAAACACATTTTATGTGTTTATAGTCTAAGAAAAGTCTAATTACGTGTATAATGTTTGGAAAGGATAATATTGAAGAAACGTAAATTAAAAACGTATCAAGTTTTATATACATCAGGTTTTGGTTATTAAAGTCCGTACGGTTTATCTCCACAGCTTCAGGCGGTGCCCGAGGATGTACCAATGTGATATTCTTAATAGAAAATTTACGATTACGGCTGATGATTTTCCAATTCCTGATTACGGCTGCAAACTGGCATTCCTAATTGACTCCTGATAATTTTTTTCTTGATAGCTAATTCTATGATTAAAGTACAAGCACAAGCCTATTTAATGATGATCTTTTTTTCTTGCTTTATGTTTCTTCCTTTCTTGTTCGACAAGCAGTCTCACTTATAATTTATTTTAACTTTATTCATCATGAGATTGATCGTCATTTTTCATAACCCTATAGCTATTTGAAAACACGCAGAAAAATTGATAGTCGGCAACCTTAGAATCGAGTTAGGTTTCTTGAGAACTTTAGGTAAACAACAGCTGATAAGTTTTTGTATGTTAATCTTTCAATTTGACAGCTTATTGGAGAAGGTTAATTATGATGAACTGATTAAAAAGTTAAGTTTGGACGATGTTAGAAGAATGATTATATTTAATTGGATTTTCTTTATTACTTTGTCATTTTAGACACTTTTGTTGTTTTGGTTTGTAGTGCTTTTGGTTTGGCAGCGGATCTACCTACCTATGCAAAGCAAACCAAAAAAAAAATCCAATATATCTCATCCAAAAGCACAAACGTTACCTCTGTTACAAAAGTATACGAATAACACAAAAACGCCATCAATATACCATTTCCCATTTTGCCATCTACATAGATTCACCCGACACACACACACACACACACATATATATATATATATATATATATATAATGTTTTTGTACCTCAACAAAATTGTCCTCCCCCACCATCATGGACCACTTTCAATACAATCGTTTAACCACCCACCACCACCATCATCATGCAATATAAGACGCATGACTTCCATTAACAATGAAAAATAATACATGACCACCCAAGGCCAAAGATTAAACATATATCAACTTAAATTTCACAAATTTTCAAACTCATTTACCATCGTTCAGTAACTTCCCCGAATCACCCACGATCGGAGAAGGTGTGGAGAGGCTTCGGGCGTAAACCCTGGGCTCAACGTTTGATAACGAGCCTTCTGTCACTCCACCACTAATACTATAGCATGGCCGAAGTTGCCTGTGATCTTCACAATTACCTTCTTTCCGCATCAATTGGTTCACCCCTTCGGTTAACTTTTTGCCATCCCATACCGACCCTGATGAACCCTGTCTTCTAAATGACTTTTCTGACCTCTTTAGTGTTGCCATGGCTGATCTCAGACTCGTTTTCAGCTTCTGCGTCCCTGCATGTGTAAACATATATTAAATATGTGTGCAAGAAAAAGCCAGAAAATAGGATCCAAGGAAAAAATTTAGATGCCATTTGTTTTGTTTCATAGCAAAACCATAATCAACACTAGTATCATGTGTTTTTCTGTATGTCTTTTGTTAATTTTGGCCGTTAAGCATAATACATATACACACACATGAAGTTGAAATAACAAGCAGATGATAGTCAAGTTCACTGCTTGATTTTCATTGGTTTTTTTAAATACTGTATAACCAAAACCCATTTCAACATAGGTAAGTCATGAAAGATAAATAAAGATATTCAACAAAGAAATCAAGTTTTAACTAGAGTAATACTACTAAAATGCAATATGCCGAAACTAAGCACACTAGTCATTCTGTAAAATAAAGACAGAAGGCTGCATATTCAAAAGCTCAAAGAATAGTAACTTTCACTTTCTTCACATTAACGGTCCAAAAGAGACATGGAAGGCATGTATGTAAACAGAAATATGAAAATCTGCATATCCTTCCAAATCCGTGCAAGATGTAAGTGATCCATATTCATGCCTGCTATAAGCAGACGTGCAAAGGAGAAAAGTTGACAGTGGATGGGGGAGAGGGTAATGGGTATAAATTGTGGTATTTAAGCTCGAGCAGGAGAAATGGAGTGGGAGTCATGTTGGCCATGGAGATCAAGGATAGCATAGTGGATTTGGCACTCAGAGTGGTGATAGAGGAGGAGGTGGTTAACATTGTATGTGGTTTTGCACTGCAACCAAGATTGGGAGAGCAAGAAAAGAAGAGTGTGCATGGAAGTTTAAATAGGAGGTTTACCGAGGGATCAACACATTTATAGGGGGCAACTTCAACGGCCATATTGGGAAAGGGGCAGATGGATATCAAGGAGCCCATGGGGGGTTTTAACTTCAACGCGAGAAACGAGGGATGACCCAGGATTTTCAAACTCGTGCTTTAACAAAAGGAAGGAATGAGTGAGTCGGTATGCTCCTGGATTTCGCCTTAGCACATGATCTAGTAGTTTCAAACCCATGCTTTAACAAAAGGAAGGATCACTGGATCACCTTTCGGAGAGGGGAACTTTTAGCACCCAGATTGACTTACCTCCCATATGTGGAGCCGGGACCATAGAGCTTGAAAGGACTGCAATGCATGATATTCCTTGGTGATAATGGGCTTATCCATGAGGCAAAGAGCAGCAGGGAGAATGAAGGAGGCAAGACCAAGGATCTTGGGCAAAAACCTGAAGGAGAGAGCAACAGAGGGATTCAAGGAGAAGGTCATGGACCGGACAGAGGGAGCACGTGGAGCAGATGAGAAATAGAGTGGTCCAAACCATTAGAGCATGGGCCAAAGATAAGCTCGGAGCGTCAACAGAAAGGATTAGGGACCAAAGGAATCATGGTGGTGGAATGAAGGCGTTCAAGGGAAAACCATCGCGTTTTAAGAACCTGATGTTGTGCTAGACAGAAGAGAAGCGGGGTAGGGCGAAAGAATGGTACAAGAAAGCAAAAAGAAAACACGCGATTGTGGCAAAGGATAAGGCTTATGAAGAGATGTAAGAGGTTGGATACCGGAGAAGGGAAGGATGAAATATACAAGTTGGCAAAGGGATCAAGACATATGAAGCGTAAGGTATATTAAGAACGGGAGTACACAGGTTCTAGTAAAGGACGAGGAGATTAAAGAGAGATAGGTAGGTCTTTTCATTTGCTTTTTAACGAGTCAAAAGGGAGAGGGAGGTGAAAGTGGAAGGCATAAGGAGCAACGACCGCCGCACAACAACTGTTTTTGTCAAAGAATCAACAACGGGGAGGTGAAAGTAGCACTAAGAAAAGGGGGAAGTCCAAGACCGTAGGCCCGAACCACATCCCCATCGAAGCGTGGATGTGCCAAGGGGAGGCAGGTGCACGTTGGCTGGTAGAGCTCTTTATCGTCTTTCTCAAGACTAGCAAGATGCCGAAAGAGTGGAGGCTTAGGGGCCGTTTACCAAATGTTTACCCGGGTAAGCGTTTACCAAGTCACATTACCTTACCAGATGAATATAGCAAGGACCAAGAATCTTATCTAGTAAGAGCGAAGATAAGAATCGAAAGTCTTACTCGGTAAGTGAAGGCGACGACTCTTACCACGGTTAGTGCTTACTGGGTAAATTGTTGCATATGATACCGTTTTGATGGCCTAAAATCTTACTAGGTAAGTAAGTGATAGTGTTGAATTTTGTCGGTAAGCACTTACCCAGATAAGTGTTTGGTAAAAGGCCCCTTAGTGTGGCGGTGCCGCTATATAAGAACAAAGGCAATACACAAACTTGCTGTAATTATCATGGTATAAAGCTTCTTAGCCATACTGTAATATCATGGGAGAGTGGTGTGCGGCACAAAATAAGGGGTGATGAACCAATTCGGATTCATGCCAAGGAGGTCAAACATCAAGGCAATCCACCTCCTCAGAAGCCTCATGTAGAAATGTAGGACACGTGGTAAGAATTTCCACATGGTGATCATAGACTTGGAGAAGGCTTGTGATAGCGTACATCGGACATGATCTGGAGGATCCTGAAGGAGAGACAAGTACCATGGAGGTATATCAAGGCAATTCAGGAGATGTACAAGCAAATAATGACCTGTGTTAGGACCCCAGTGGGTTAGACGGAGTACTTTCTGGGCTACATTAGGGTTTGACATTAAGCCCATTTTTATTTGATGTAATTTTGGATAGATTTCACAAGGGATTCAAGGGGTGTCTCATGGTATATGTTATTTGCAGAGACATTGTACTAGTAGTAGAATCGAAGAAAGAGACAAATGCTAAGTGGAGAGCAGCCTTCGAAGCATAAGGCTTGTATTTGGAATTTGAATTATATGTTCGAGCTTTGTGTTTTAAACTGTTTCCAAAACTTCATTTTCATATTACACACTTAGAAGTCAGAACTTAGTTCAACCAGAGGGGCTCTGAGGGGCTCTGGTTGTCCAGAGGGCTTCGGGTTGATTTGACCAAGTGGTTTTCCTCTAAGTTCTTTGGCAAGTGAACCCTCTGGTTGATCTTTACCTTTAACTAGAGGGCCTCTAGGCATATATCAAGTTCTTTATAAAGTTTGTTTTTAAGTATATCATCTCTGGTTCTGGTCGTCCAGAGGGCCTCTTTTTGGCTGAGGCAATGTGACTTGTTTCTAATTAGGTCAATGCTTTCAAATTGGCGATCTTAAGAGTATTTAATTTGGTTAAAAGTGGTCTAGAGAAGCTCTAATTTGTCTTGGGCTTTTGGTTGAGTTGGAAGTTCAGGACCAGAGGTTATGGTTAGTAGGACCAGTGGCTCACGTCATCCAGAGAGCTTTTGATTGGGCTTGGTATTATATTGGAAGTTGATTTTGATCAACTTATTGTTGTCTTATTTCAAAATATGACTACTCTGGTTGTCAAACCAGAGGGGGCTCTGGTCCTTGTGGACAGAGGGGTTGAGAATCTTGCATCATGTATGGCAAGTAAGATTTATAAATCCTTTTTGGAACGTGTTATTTGAGTTAGGATTTATAACAAGGTGTTTATAAATTTGTTTAATTACAAATATAATTTTAACCGGTTTTGGTGATCTTCACCATGTAATTGCAAAGAAAGCGTTATCTCACTAGACCTTCTGGTCTAACCCTCATTTTGTGTTTTAAAATATGCATTGCAGGATTAGCATGGTCTCGGGATAGTAAGGGAAGGGGAAAATATGATTATTTTCCTTATATGCTTGTCTGCTGTTTTTGAAGATCAACTTGTTCATTGATGATGTGATTGTACAAGAACATTGCTTTGAAATTTTTGAGATGTAAATTTTGTATCATAAGTTTCTTGTACTAGTGGGACCTATGAGGTGTAATTTGTATTTCTTTTATATGAAGTACATATTATATGCAAATGTGAAGTATGAGGTGTTATAACTGACGAGGGAGTGGAAGTCAACATTGGGGAGTAAAGGGAACCCCAACATCACAATTCAAGTACCTTTGCACCTATGATTCAAAAAGGAGGAGAAAGTCGAGGACAATACACACTGAATGAAGACAAGATGGGCAAAACACAGGGCTGTCACAGGAGTGTTGTATGAGAAAAAGGTCCTTATAAAATTGAAGGGCGAGCTTTACATGTAACCATCAGACCACTCGTATTTAATGGGCCAAAATGTTGACAATAAAGGAGGCGAATGAAAGGAAGTCAAATATAGCATAAATGAGGATGCTTAATGGACCTGTCGCAAATCTATATTGGACATGATGTTGAATGAGTTTTTTTGAGCAAAGTTGAGAGTAGCGCCTATCATGGATAAATTGGGAGGGAAGGTTGTGGTGGTTTGACCATGTTCGTGAGAGAGAGAATTCGTGGTGAGAGGGTTAAGAGCGTAATGTCGACGGGTAAGAAGGGACAGACCTGGAAGGACGTGAGATGAGCAACTGAGACTTAGGGGCCACTTACTAAACACTTACCTTGGTAAGCGGTTACTGGTTCAATTACCTTACAAAATGACCATGACAAGGACCGAAAATCTTACCCAGCAAGAGAGAAGGCAAGGATCAAGAGTCTAAACCGGTAAGTGAGGGTGATGACTCTTATCCGGTAAATGCTTACCGGGTTATAAACGCTTACTATCAATCCACTTTGATGTCAAGAAATGTTAGCTCATAAGGTAAGTGAGAGCGTTAAGTCTTGTCGGTAGGCACATACTCGATAAGCATTTGGGCAGCTCCTTAGATAGAGTGAATTTAGGCAAGGTTTTAAAGTATGGAAACGTGAGCTTAGGCGTTTTTTCCTTGGGGAGGCAAGGCATAAGCCTTGAGGAGGTCAAAGGTGTAAGTCTCGAGGCGGAAAACAAATATAATTGAAAATAATAAGTATACACACTAATTAATGTATAGGGAAAATTGCATTTAAAAGTAACCTACTTTAGTCTGATTCCTTTTTCAGATAACGTACCTTTAAAACCTTCATTTTGGTACCTCCGCTGTAAAATATCAAACTTTTAAGTACCTAGTAACCTACATATTAAGTAATCGGTTAACTTAAATGATGGTGTAAATTTTTGACGATGACATGGAATTAATGACCTGGAAACTAAAATATTTTCTCCTAAAAGTTTTCATTCTCCATTTCTTCCCCGAAACATCCCACGACCTGAAACTGAAACTGAAACGTCACCCTCCCTATCGTCAATATCATCGCCCCTCCCTTTGTCGTCGAGACAACTTCGTTTGGCCTCGCTCTCCTCTCATGTCAAGCTTCTACATCAGATTGCGAATGAGTACAAGATTAGTCATCTGGTTATTCCATTTTTGTGGTTTCTAGGGGTTTATGGTTTTATGGTTTCTCGATAAAATGCAAATGTTCTTGATCAATAGTGTTTATCAATTTATCTTTCTTCTAGATTAATTTGTTTATGAGGTTGAGGAGATTGAGATACAAAATATTTGCTTTAGAAATCCATTACAGAGACCAACGAAAGAGTGAAGTGCAGAGCATTACAGACTGAGATGCAAAATATCGTATTTCTTAAACCTAACAGAGCATTACACTAATGTAAGCTGATAAATATATAACTTCATTTTGCAGCCATAAAGGAATGTTCCCCACTTCCTTGAACATCTCTTTCTTTATTCATTTACATGGTACTGTCCACGAGCAACACTTCAATTGCGGAGTGATGCTCTAATATAATAATTTGATTCTTTTCTTAAACTTGTTGCATGAAGAATCTTTTTGTGTTTTCCTTCTTGAACCAACATTTATGCTACATAATGGGCCACAGTTAATGATTTGATCCTTTTCTTGAATAAGAAGGATGATAAAGTTATAAAATGTTGGTTATATAATTATTTTTTTGCCATTCAAATTTAACTCTTTTTTTCTTGAATAATGAGAATAGGAAGTTATATGTTACCGGAAGATTAGAAAACGAGAACAATAGGCTTGATCTTGATAAATTTCTTTGTATTAGTCTTGATCACATATTTTGTAACTCACTCTTATTTCACCAGCAAGGAACATGAAGAAGGGGCTTCTACTAGTGATGATGACCTTGGAGGTCCAATGACCTGAATGAAGAATACGAAGATTGGTTCAATGATGTGTTTTCCAATGCCGATCAAGATGATGTTGCTAGTTTAGATAATCTATCAGACGGAGATGAAAAAATTAGGGAAGCTCGATTAAAGATGATGAACCTTAATAGTAAATGACTTGCAAAAATTGTTGGGAGGTTGGACATAATTCAAGAGGTTGTAAAAACCAGAAAAAGATGCATCATCTAAGCAAAGAAATCCAGGTGGTAGGCCTAGAGGCAGTGGTTCAAGTAGGGTTCAAGAGGCGGTGGTTCAGGGAGAGGTTCAAGAGGTAGGACTTCAAAGGGAAGGGTTGGTCCATTTCCACCGATTGTGGTAAGTAAACCTTGTGATTCTATATGTTTTTTTATTAAATTTGGCCGAATTGTTATTAAAAAGTCATTAGGTAATTAACGTTATTCTTTTTCTTATTTGAAGTTGAAGCGAGAGAAAGGGAAGAAACTCCATCTAAGAGGACTAAGTGGAGCCGGGTGTAACATTGATTGAGCATTAACGATGTATCAGAGCATTTAACTTTGACTCAGAATTCACGAAGTATCAGAACATTTTGTTTTATAATTGGTAGAGGTGTTATGCTATTGTCCCTTTTTTATTATGGAAGATACAAGTGGCATGCCATTTTTGTAAAAATATTTAACCATTGGCAATATTTTGTTTATTAACTTATCATTGTTTAGCAATGATTAACTTTTTTTATTATTATTTTGGTCTTGTTTAGTTAATAAGAATTTCAACACATAATAGACCTAAAAATGTTACGGAAATAACAATCATTTAAAAGTTACAAAAATTTACAATCATTTAAAAAAAATACAAGTTCTATAGATTTTAACAAAAAATATAATAATGAAGTAAATTTTTCCTTAATTGAAAATACATATATCACAAAAAAAATGACGTGGTTTTTTCTTAATCAAAAAATACAAAATTTCACAAAAAAATTAAAGATGACAGTGGATTTTTTTTCTTAGTTGGCATTTATAAAATAATAAACAATGCCACATCAATAAAAACCTGATCCTAATCAAAATTTGCAAGTCATTAGGTTACCCAGGTACTTAAGAGTTTGATATTTTACGGCTGAGGTACCAAAATGAAGGTTTTGAAAGTACGTTACCTGAAATTGGAATCAGATTAAAGTACATTACTTTTTAATATAACTTGCCCTAATATATATATATATACATGGAAAATAAATAAAACTGAAATAGTATATACCCACTAAATAGTATATATACACAACTATTATGCATCGGACTTATAGAGAAAACAGTAGACACAAAATGTATAAATTTAAATATATACATACACACACTCTTAGAGGTTACAAGAAGAATACAAAAAGTGGGACGACGGAAGACTCCAATAAGTAACAAAATATAGAAAGTGGGATGGCAGGTGACTCCAATAAGTACGAAATAGACAGAGTGGGATGGCGGGAGACTTGGTTTGCACAAACCAGAGCAGTCAAAAGAGGCGACCGCCTCACCGCTTTTGTTCCGCCTCAATCAACCAAGGTGTACGTCCCACCCCAACCTGGAGAAGTGACGCCTCACATACGATTTTGGGCCGCCTCACCTTGACGCATGCCTCGAGGCATTCGCCTCTCACGCTTTTTTAAAACCATGGATTTAGGGATTTCCAAAAACATGACCTTGGATAGAAGTTTCTGAGGACATAGAACTAGGGTAGCATATTTTGTATAAGGACCTATGGGTAATATGGTCGTGGAAGGTGGAACGAGAGGTAGTAGGTGGGTTGGGGGAGGTTAGAGAGCCGACAGCTAAGTTAGGATAGGTAGCACAACCCCTTTTGGGTAGTCTTTTGGCTCACTTACTTCTTAGGTTGTTTAGTTGTTTTGTACTTCCCTTTTTTTCTTTTTATGCATGTACTTCTTTTTAACTTTTTTATTGTTGTTTCTATTGCGTGCTTGATCTTCGAGTCCATGCTTGTCTTCCTTTCCTAAGTTTATCTCGAACTTCTCAACAACGCTTCAAATCCTTTTTTTCTTGCCTTTGTTAGTGTCGCTTTTGGTAAGTCGAGAGTCTTCAAAAAAACAGTGTCTCTACACCTTTCAGGTGGAGGAAAGGTTGCATATATCATACCTTCCTCAAACCCCACTCTGTGGGATTTCATTGACTTCATTTGGTATGATTTTGTGTACAAGCAGATGTAGATATTTGGATATGGTTGCAATCATACCCAAACATATTTGACATGTATAACTTATAAGATAATGTATTAATATGCAATCAATAACATATCTTCTTCATAGAATTATAACATGGCTAAAATCATAAGGATCTAGATTTAATTATATATATCAAGTAAAGATATCTTTTATACCACTAGCAAAATGTATAGATACATTGCTAACCACACAATTTTTTATCACAAACACCCGTGCATTGTTCATCTAATTGTCATCAAATATCATGCAACATGCAAATGCAAATACTCGCAAATGTCCAAAGCCATTGATGATTTAAATGATGCTTATTCTAAGAAACTTCAGGCAAAAGTATGTTTTGGTGACTGAACTAGAAACAAAGCAATGCCAATCAAAGCATGCATAATATTTCTCGTTTCTCTTTCCTCACTCTACCAAAACCTATGAATAGCATGCTGAACCGATTTTCTAGATGCACATGGTGGATATGTCGCATTAAGAGAGTTTCAGAAGCAAACCGTTGATAAGGTAGGCGATGATCAGGAACACCATCTTCACCACGCTTATCTTCGAACCATTTCAGGACTTTCTTGCGAGGTATTTTTGTCACATGCACAATGTTGCTAATCAGGGCATTCTGCATTCAATTTTCAACAATACCACAAACTTAATCAAGTTTATCTAAAAATGCAAGTTGTAAAGTTACATAATGAACAATAAGCACGTTTATCAGTAGCACTACTATGCACTTGGCAGTTAACTACTACATTCATCCTATGAAGATTGTAGTGTCGAGCTTCACATATGACTTAAGAAAAAATCTTTTACTATTGGTTTATATCTATAATAACCTTCAATGAGGACAATATAGAAAAAGAATCTTCAATACCCAAATCAAATAGAATTAAACTATCTGCAAAATGAGGATCAATAGCTGATTTTAACATGCATACTTTCCAAAAGATATTATTGCCATATATCACGACACATAAAAAATAAGATCGTTGTAAATTTCATGAGATAGATGGTCTACGATGTCATGCTTGTTATATTCTACAACAGTAATTGCAAGTAGCTCATACAAATCATACAATAAGCGTGTAACACCAAGGATAGAGGAGTACCAAAATCATGGGCTCATGGCATGGCAAATTTTGCAAGATCATAAGTACAATGTAAGCAAGAGAAATTCTAGATCAAATTAAATATCGAGGAATATGAGCAAGAAAAATACCTTAAGTGATTGTCAAATTCAATAGATTTAAATCTTGGAAGGAAAATGTTCAACATCGTGGTCTAGTAATTGTAATTGTAATTGACCTCTTGGTCTAGACAGGAATGAGCTACCGACAAAAGGTTTTTATTTTTCTTGGGTATCTGAACTCATCAATCTCTCTAATTACTCCACTTCAAGTTTCGAGTTATATCAAATTAAGCTCAAAGGAAAAATGCACAGGCTTCAATGATATTGACCATTATGCTCACATGTATTCCTCAGACATTCATAAATCTATCCTGCATATGTAAAGGATCAATTAAACTTGATCTGTTTACATAATGCATAACAAGACTTCAGTAACTACCAATCCAAAAGGAGAACCATGTCCCTAAAGGAGCAGAGTGTATGACTAATCATTTATGACATCATTCTACTGAAACAGCTGCAATAACATATAGTGTATTAACTCACTGTGGGACGTTTTGATCGTCTATAAACTCTCTCTAGTGTTTCAACATGCACTTTCTTCAGTCGCTTTTGAGCAGACCAGCTACTTTGCATTTGATGAACTGGAACTTTTGTGGTGGCCTTGTCATTTAGTGCATCTCTTTCACTTGCCAACAGAGCAACATCCTCAGCTTTGATTACAGGTTCCAATATTGTTGGATCGGCTTTATTAGGTAATGTGGCACTAAGCATAAGAAGATCTGGAGGGGGGTCACGAAGTAATTCGAGAACAATAGCTCTATCAAGACATAAGTCTGCAGCCAGATTCTTGATCTGCATTAACAAAAACCGCAACCAATATAATATCTACCATGATGAATTTCTGTGTCACAGAGTTATGGTAATTGATAAGTAAATGAAGAGATCAATTCCAAAAAAATTGTAAATGAAAGCAATCAATTCCAAAAAAAAATTGCAAGTGAAGAGAGATTTGTTCATTCACCCCCACAAACACGCACAAAGAACAGAGTCATCTGCTTAATTGTTGTTGAAGAAAACAAATTTACACTTACGAACACCATGATGTACTCACCATTGCCCTGTTCTCTTACAAAGATAAACCCAGCACTGCAGTCTAGTAATTTCCAAAACATTCTACTATTCTCACAGTTCCTAGCATGCTTATATTCCATCCTTTAGTCCTCTCAATATTTCTGATTTAGAAAATTATTACAGATGTGGGTTTTTCTCTGATTTGACTGGAGTTGAAGTTCTGAACCCTGAGAATATGTCAGCTATCTTAGAATTTGAAGTACTCATGACAGATAATCTAAAGACTACAAAACATTGAAGCATAGGTAGACTTGTAATATGACTTCTAAAAACTCCAGATATTCTCTTGTAACGAACATGGTAAAAGGAAAATCAAATGCATTGGGAAAAATTTTGGTAGTATATGAACAAATATAAACCTAAATGAAGTGCTGTCGTAATATCAGAGTTTAAACCAATTTGGTATCACTGTTCCCTTGAATATAAATACTTAAAATACTCAAATATAAATGCAATCAGCCTCATCAAAATCCTTAAAATACTATATTGTTAACTATTAAACAGGAAAAAAAAAAGATAAGAAACTGTTGCAGTTCAATTCATGTCTTATGCCTGGAGATTGACATGCTGCAATTAATATCATGCAAGTTCAATCAACTGAGATGAATAAGTCACTGCCATTTCGACCATTAAGCCTAATACAAGACAATATTCACAGGGTCAAACACAACAGATCACTGTAGGAGAAGCTTGACAGAACACAGTATATGCATGTTGTCCGTCCAGGTTAACACGATTTGACAATCCTAGCTTCATATGAGGCTATCCTTCATCTCTCACTTGTCAAGGCTGTAGAGTTCGGGGTCTTACCTCAATCAAAACAGCTGACACTAAACCATCTAGATGACTTGATTTCAGCAGAAATTGCGTCAATGAACAGCAAATATGGAGAAAGCATAAATCACATCTAAATATGCTTACACTAGTCTTACGCCGTCCATCTTTAAGTGCATAAGCCAATCTCCGAAGCTGCCATCTTTTGAGTTCCAGTGGTCCTTCTTCATCTCCATCTCCATCTCCATCTGCCTCTTCCTCTTCCTCTTCCTCTTCCTCTTCCTCTTCCTCTTCCTCCTCTCCCTCTTCTTCCAGGTTGTTGCTTTTGATTTCCTTCTCAGTTGTTTCATTCATCGTTTTATCTTTTTTATTCATCGATTCCTTGTCTTTGACTCTCACCTCATTTTTCTCATCCACGATATCATCAAACAATCCCAATAGCTCATCATCCCCTAGTGCTTCCTCCAACTCACGTTCAAGCTTTGCGAGGTCTTCCTCGGTTATTTCATCATCATCATCATCAAATGATAAGCCATCATTTTTTAAATCTTCCTCTAGCTGCTTAAAGAGTGCTTCAAAAGCATCCTCCTCGATATCTTCCTCCTTACCAACACTATTTCTGCCCAAGCCTTGCTGCAGAAACAAAAGCAATCGAGATAAATAAATGATTGCCAAAAGCAAATAGGGTTGTCATCCACAGGTTGCTACAGTGAATTTCAACAAGGATTCTCAGCACTGACAAGACAATCTAGGGTCATAAGTTATCATATACATCCGAAAGGTTATAAAGATACAATTATGAATTAGAACTTCACACTATGTAAAAATGATTACCCGAGTGTGGAGTTACTTTGTGGAGATGAGACCCACAAAAAAAGGACATGAAAAGAGAAGGAAAATGGACAAAACAAACAGATTTTATTTTCTAAAGTGAAAAACAATACACACCAAAAAGAACAAAGGAAAACCACAATAAACTTTAAAAATAATTATACAGAGACATTTGAAGTTAAAACACTTTTGCAGGTTGAATCTCCAAAATCAAACCTGACTTATTTGGGACAGAAGAAACCTTTGATCATTTTGGTTTAAGTTGTTACAATCATGTCTGAATTTAAGCAACAAACCCCTGACACAAAAAGAGCCTTGTTATCCGTTATCACCTACTAATGAATTAAAATTAGGAATTTAGTTTCGATACAATCTAATTCTGAAATTATGTCATCAAAACGATGCTCATGAATCTGTGACGTGTACTGTAAATCAATCAAGTCATTTGCTAATGTACCATCATATAGTCAGATATTTATTTTCAGAGTGTAGCATTTAACTCTACAGCCATTAATCTTCATCTTGTCAGTTTTAATGAGAGCAATTGAATTCAACTTAATCCAAGGTGTTAGCCTTAGCAACAGCAAACGGCAATAACTACTGCAAAAACTGAAGTTTTCCAGAACATCAAAAAAAACCAAATACCTTCTTTTTCTTGGAGGAAGAGATTGGAGAGTTGCTTTTGCTGCTACGACGGCGAGCACAAGTAACGACGGAGCAGCGAGAAGACAATGTCCGTAGGTTTGCTGAGATGGCAGGCATGTGGAGCAGACGGTTGTTAGAGATATACGAAGTTGAAGGAAGTTGAATTGCCATCCAAAAGTGAAGCGCCATGGAAATTGCGCCTGGAGCCCTGAGGGTTTTAGGGAAGGTGAGATGGAAATGGCAGTTGTGACATTATCTATAAGTTTGGAAAAGGTACATATTTCACCCTTAAACTTTCAACCATTTTGCGACACCTAGGGTTGTAAATGAGTTTAGCCGAGTCGAGTAGCAATTTATTCGAACTATGTTCAAGAAATAATAACAGGCTCGAGTCGAGCTCCAACATTTTTTGAATTATTGAGCTCAAGTTAGATGCTTGATTATAGGCTCAAACTCACGATCAATTAACTTATTTATCAGCTCGAACTCGATATTTATTATATTTTTACTATATTATTTATGAACATATGAGCATGTCTGACTCAGAAAGTATATGTTAGAATGGTGCGGCTCGACTCAAAAAATTTAATTGAATTTTCGAACAAGTCGATTCGAATATTGGTGTTATGAAGTTTGACTCGTTAAGTTAACGGGTTTTATTTTGTGTTTAAGATCGAATCGAGCTCGAGAATTATTAAGCTTGAATCGTTTACACTCCTAGAGCCTACACAACTAAAAAGTCAGGCTTGCGTTTTGGATTGGAACCACTAGGGTTGTTAATGAGCCTAGTCGATGCTCATTTATGGGCTCAGAAAAGTATTATCAGGCTCGAGCTTGACTTGAGCTTGAATAACTTTCATAGTAGGGTCTGAGTTCGAGCTTAAATATTTTTATAATTTTCAAGTTTGACGCTCATTATGAGCTCGAACTCAAGATCCATTAGCTCACTTATTGGCTCGATCTCAATAATTTTTATGTGTTGATTATGATGTATGGACATATGAAAGCATTTGGCTCGAAAAAGTGTATGATCAAATGGATTGGCTTGATTCGTAGTCGAGCCGAATTGAACATTGGTGTTATCAAGCTCAACTTGTGTAAATATAAGAAATTGGTTCATATGTTAATTGTGAATATTGCTAAGTGTAAATATAAAATATCGCATTCAGACTTTGTATTGAAGTGTTTACAGAGTTTGGCAAAAAGTCTGAAGATTTGCTTACAAAGTTAGATTAAAATCTAAAGTATGTTTAGAATTGAAGAACGAGTCTGAAGAGGCTTTCCAGAGTTCAGGTGTTAAATCCGTACAAGTGTTAAAGTCTTCAGAGTTTGAAATGAAGATTTTGCAGAGTTAAGGTCAACTCTGGATACTCTATCCAGAGTTAGACACTTAAAAGATTTTCTGAAGATAGTTTCTCAATATTGAAGATTTCCTGTATAAAGATATTAGAACATGTGTACAGTTGTAATAGGGTTATCATGTAAATTCTATAACCATAGCATTTTTCTTCTAATATAAATAGAAGCAAGTTAGACATTGATAGGTAACTTTTCATATACATATTGTATAAATTTCTCTCATCGGATTCATTTGTAAGCATTCTTTGATATTCAACACACATGATGACTTCCTTGATCAAATACTTGTCTTACATTCTTGACTACGATTCATTATACGGGACTTACAATTGGTATCAAAGTCATCAACTCTTGAATTCTAAATCAGATTTCACTCTATTTTCTCAAATTCTTGAATTGTTTCTACTTGATCAATTTCATTTGATTTGATCAATTATTCTTGATTCTCGGTCATTCTTTTTTAAATCTAAGTTGTCTAAGCGATCAAACTTCTATTGTCAAGATGTTTAAAGAGTATGTAAGCATTGGATCTGAAACAAAACCTCCAGCTTTGTTCGTTGGAGAATATCACCAATGGAGTATTCGAATGGTTCAATTCCTGGATAATATTTATAAAGAACTGATGAAATCAATTCTTGAAGGACCACTTGAAGTTTACATTGAGATTCCTGTTGTTCCAAGAACAAAGAATACCCCTGTTATTCTTGCTTCCGAGATTAGAAAGGATCCTAGCATGTACAATGGAGAAGAGAAGAGAAAAGATTGACAGAAGGGCTTTGATATTACTGACCATGGCACTTCCTAATGAAAATTTTTAACTGGGTAGACAGTCTAAAGTTTGCAAAAGAGATGTGAGATGAAGTAGAAGCCCAGATGCAAGGAAGAGAAAAGGCACTTTAGAACAAGATCAACATCTGTATAGGAGCTTATGAAGGTTTTAAAGCAAAGGAGCCTGAATCCCATTCTAAGACATACAACAGATTCAATGACATTCTGAATGATCTAAGAAAAAATAGTGTTTAAAAAATCAATGATCTTACCAAGAAGAATATTCATGATATCTATGGTATTCTTAATCAACATGAGGAGAAGGTGAGGGAGAGACTAACTAAAAAGAAAAGGGTAAATGATAATCTAGCTTTGATTTCTGATAGAAAATATAAATCAAGCTCTAAGAGATCATCAAAGATTGTTGAAATTTCTAAGATAGATCCATATTCAAATTCTGATAGTGGGAGTTCAGATCTAAACTGTTAGGATCAAATTGATCCTAATTATTCTAAAAAGTTTTATTAAGCAATCGGGGCTAAGGATAGAAGACCTAAAGATGTTGTTGAGCTTAAAACGTCTATCCTCTGGTTGGTCTATCATCTGGTTGGTCTATCCTCTGGTTGGTCTATCCTATGGATTGTCTATCAACTGGTTGGTCTATCCTCTTATTGGTCTATCATCTGGTTGGTCTATTCTCTAGTTGGTCTATGCTCTGGATGACTATTTTCAGAATCTTGAAGGATGATGCTGATCCCATTTTCGATAATGATTATTTCCTTGTTTATAGGATTTAGTTACCTTACTTATAGGATTCAGTTATCATGTAAATAT